CCTAGAAAACAGCAGCCATTGCAATCAGAGGTGATTCCCGACCCCATGGAAGGGGAACAGACCTGGCCCACTGAGGAGGAGCTGAAAGATGCAGAAGGTCAGGACTGGCAATATTTCTCTAGCCTTTCCTTAGATTGGTTGGTGAAGTTTTTCCTTTTTAGCAGCTGTAGCTGAGAAGCTTAAGGCTGGGAATGGTATCTGGCTTTGAACTCCTATTTTCAGCCCCATCCTCTGACTGTTGGGCTGCATAGCTTCTGCCGTTTGACTCTGAATTTTGGCTGGCCAGATTGTTGAGGAGTAGGTCTTGGGATCCCAAGCATCTGTCTGCTGATGGCCATGTTGAGCTGGATTATTCCTAATTGCTGTGTGTCTAACAAGGTTGACTCGCCTTCATGGCAGTTCCTGCTGGTCACACTGGGAATTAGCTCAGTTTGTTGGCATGTGATGCCTTCTGGTCAGTGTCTTGCCCATCATAACTCTGCACCCTTGTGGCCCCATGTTGCTCCCTGAACTGCTGCGTCCTCTTTCAGGACATTGCCTTTCAGACACTCTGTTCTTGCCACCTCCTTGGGGTGGGTGTCAATAGTCCTTAGCCATGGTGGCAAGTGTGAGTCTATCTGCAGCCCCAAAGTCTAGCCCCTTGCCATTGAGAAGCGCTGCAGTGCATAGGTTGTGCTGCAGTGTGGCAAAGTGTGGTGCAAGGAGGGGACCCAGGCCTGCCTTGTCCTGTCGTCCTTCATTCCCCTTAATTGCTTACAGTGTTCCCTGAGCCACTTCCCTGTGATCCTTGCACTGTCTCGGCCTTTGTATCAAGGCCGTCAGCCTCGGAGATATTGGACAGGAGCTTCTCTCCGGCTCTCCTGAGTCTGCCCAGCACTGCTCCACCTAGGAAGCCAGTCCTGCACCTCCCTTGTCAAGACCCAATGGCTCTCTGTTCTGCTGAGCAGCTCCTTACAACAGGGCAGCCCCAGCAAACTGCCCTTTGGCTCTGTATGAGTCTCTTTCTGATTGACTGGGTTTGTGCAGGCTCCCTCCAGCCTCCTTTTAACCTGCAGGAGTGGGACCACTGCCCTACCATAGTGAGAGAAAGAGCCATGCTCTCCCATCCTGATGTTAGTGATGCTGACTGGTGAACATGAACAGTTCATGAACAGTCTCTGGATTCTGGTTACTGATTTCTGCATGGGCAAGGTGCATTGCTGTAAATTCCTGTGTGCACTCAACGGAACTTGCTCTTTTGCATGCTGTCACAATTGTGAAGGGGAAATAGAGGGAGCAGCATAGCATCATGTCTGGCATTATTCTAGATAAAGAGTTGAGGAAGTACTAACTGATATGAGGATCTGGCAGGGTCCTTAAAGAAAAGGAGAAAGGTGTTGAAGGTCCCCAAGGGAACATCCAATTACCAGGCTGCATGGATTGTGGATGATGGAGAGGATGGCAGTGAGGAGGAAGAGGAGGATGATAACATGGAGGACGAAGATTTGATGGAAGAAGCTTCCCAGGTAATGAGAAGCTGGCATTAAATTGTGTCCAAGTACTAGTATGCTTGTCACCCTGGAAACTGTCTGTCTGTCCTTCCTACACCCAGACAGGCACAACATATAGCCCAGCTGCTGTCCATGTTCTAAATGGGTAAAGTCCAATGCAGCCATGTGCTCCTTTGTATTACTTTCTCTGTCATAGTCAGATGCCCTTTTATCTAAACTCCAGCGGTGGCTGTGGTCTGCATTGTACAGTTTGCATGCAACCCTTGGAGAGTGTGTGTACATACATCTGCCTATGGACTCTAAAGCATGGGTTCCCAAACTGGGGGCATGCCCCCTTGGGGGGGGGGCATGAAGAAATTCCAGGGGAGTCCCCCCCCCTGCCAGTCAATCCCTCCCCCTCCCAAGTTTTGCTGCTATTTTTGTTTTTTGTCCCCAGTTAGTTCCTTTTTTTTCTCAACGAGTTTTGCTGCTATTTTTTGGGGGGGGGTCTCAAATCAAAAAGGGGGCATGATGCCGAGAAGTTTGGAAACCACTGCTCTTAAGTGTATGTTGTTTGTGTCAGGTTGTGGAAAGCAGTGAGGAGGAAGAGCTTGCAGAGGAGGAGTGTGAGACCATGACTATAGCAGAGTCTGCACGGGATGACCTATATGATGAGAAGGTAGATGAGGATGAGGAGCAGATGTTGGAGAAGTACAGGCAGGAGAGACTGGATCAAATGTTCCCAGATGAGGTGGATACCCCCCGCAACTTGCCTGCCAGAGTTAGGTAAGAAACCTCATGCCAGGATGGAAGGAGCGAGTGTGCTGGTGCCTCTCCTTGGAGTTGTCTTGGCTTCGAGATGGGCCGTGTGGAAATGGGACTGACATGCTCTAGTTTGCTTAGTGAAATTGGGGCTTTCCTGTAGTGAGAACCCATGTGGGTGGGCACATCAAACTAAGCCCTTCACCTTGTCTGTCTAGTCCAGTGAGCTGGCGCAGCTACAATCCTACTTTTGTGTGTGTCATTGGGGGCTGATGGCATCAGTATGTTCCTGAATCTTTGTGCTCAGATCTCCTATGGGCAGGATGAATTCCCCCCCCCCCCCCTTTTCCCTGAGTGGTGTAAGTTCCTGTAAAGATATAATGCAGATGTTCTTGCAGGGGCCAAGATATTTGCTTGCTGCCTGTTATAGGCTTTGCTGAGTAAAGTATCTGACACTCTGTCCTCCAGATTCCAGAAGTACAGAGGACTCAAGAGCTTCCGGACTTCTCCTTGGGATCCTAAAGAGAATCTCCCCAGGGATTATGCCAGGATCTTCCAGTTCCAGGACTTCTCCCGAACCAGGAAGCACGTCTTCCGGCAGCTAGAGAAAGAGGAAACTGAAGGGGCTATGGTACCTACGTTTCCTTGGCTAACTTATTCACCAGGTTCCCCTTATGTTGTCCAGCTCTCCTCCTCTGCTGTGTTTCCTTGCTTGTGGCAAGTGTGGTTTGGTAGTAAAATTGCACTGCAGGTGGCTGGCTAGCCCTGTCCCTGTGTTGTAGATAAAGTCCATGTCATGCTGGTGTCCTGTCTTCTCTACTCCACTGTTACCCGCACAAAATTCTGTCATTCATGTACTCTCGGGGCTCGGGCATAACTGTTTCAATACAGGCATCCATCCTCATCCTTCTGCAGGCTTGAGAACTCTGTGGGTTAATAGAGTCTCTTACCAGTGAGAGAGCTTTCCACGGTAATATCCCACTTAATCTCCATTTATTAACTTTTAAAAATGAGTAGCTTTATGGCACCTGAGACGGACAAAGCATGGTATTATTGGTGCAGGGTTGAGGACTGGCAGCTCTGGTCTTGGAGCTGTGTCCTGGAGCTATTTCCCAAAGAAATTCCTTTTGGGCCCTAGTTCATATAGTGAAACTTAAGTTCTACTTAGCTGTACTGTAACCAGTTATTTTACTAAAATGTTACTAACCAATCGTAATGTACTGTTACAGAATTACCTAACCAATCAGACCCATTACTGTAATTGATTTTCATCTAGCACAATTAATTATATAGCAACAATTAAGAATCCAGCCGAGATCATACAAACAATAGGAAAGTGAGGACCATAATCATAGAATGAAGATTCCATAACCCCAGTTATTTGGAAGCAGTTTCTTGCCAGACAGAAAGCTGTTAAACTAAGTTTTCTTTACGTATCTTGAGATCTGTCTCTTATCTGGTGATTGTGGGTGCCATTGCAATGAAATCGCCTTAGCAGCCTGGTATGACAGTTTTTTTTAAATGCAATTTAGATGGAATGTATGTGTGTGATTCCAAACTTTACAGCTAATGGCTGCTGTTCTTCAAGCTGGCTGCAGAGGGAAGGCTTCAGGCCTTCCAATAGGCTACAGAAAAAGGCTGTATCTTTACACCACAGGCTGCGAGCTCAAGCAATTCCCCATGTGCATGCTCTCCTGTCCTCCTGTCTCGATAGGTGGGCTGGTATGTTACGCTTCACATCTGCAGTGTTCCTATCTCAGTGATGGAGAGTTTCAGGCAGGGGATGCCTATGGTCCTGTTCTCACTGCTTCCCCATGAGCAGAAGGTGAGTATGTATGATTTTATATGACAGGGCTGTAATCTGTGGTCACCCACAAGAACTGGGAAGCCACTGTGCCTCTTATGCACAACTTTCCTCTCTGGCTTGGCCTTCTCCTGGCCTTCCTGGGGCCTTTTTTTTGGAGGTCAGGGTCTGAGTACACAAGGAATCTAGTTCAACCCAACCTGCAAAAAAGGCCCCAGGTTGGGCTCAAAGCCATTTCTGCAGGTCCTAGGGGTCAGACTAGAACAGCATGGAAATGGTGTTAGCTGAGACATCTGAAGTTTGCTGATGAACCCTGTATGGCTCGGGGGGTGTTTTCGGCCGGGTAGGGCACCTCTGGCCTAAAAGGAAGATCTGGAGGCCCTTTGGCTGAAGCACCTGGGATGTGAGATGCTGAGACCCTCGCTGCAGACACCTGGCTTGTGGGGCTGTTCTTCTGGCCTCAGCCCTGCTGTTGGCGCTGAGCTTGAGCCTTTCTCCCTTGGCAGATGTCTGTGCTGAACTTTGTGGTGAGGCGGCACCTGGGCAACAGCGATACCGTGAAAGCCAAGGAGGAGTTGATCTTCCATTGTGGATTCAGGCGCTTCCGCGCCTCCCCCCTCTACTCCCAGCATAGCTCAGGTGGGTGTAGGACCCAGTGGCAGGCAAACTGCATACATGGAGTGCAGCCCTTCACTCCCTTCTCTTGCAGATTTCCTGCTGGCTGGGGTCTCTGGTGGGAACCGTGTGATGTCTGAACCTGGCTGAAGGGACTCTGGGGCTTGTGTCTTGGCTTCAAGGGGAAGGGTATGAGTCCATTCGTTGGAGAGGGGTGGATTGACCTGGGTAGCAAGTGGTTTCCTGGCGCTTAGTAAGGCTCGTCCTTGCTCTGGATGGGGCGAGGCTCTATCACCTGAATTGAAGAGCTCTTGTCCAAGGGGTTGGCTCTCAACAGACTATTGTGACATGAAGGGAGAGGGCTAGATGTGACACCCCTCCCCAATCCCATGCTGCTGAGGTTGCTCTCTAGGCTGAGGAGGCAGGGAGAGACCTGAAGAATGTTCCCTGAGCAATGTGTTGACAACCCATTGGGTATAACAAGTGGGGTTCTGCGGGGGTCTGTTTTGGGACCCGTTCTGTTCAATATCTTCATCAATAATTTAGATATTGGCATAGAGAGTATGCTTATTAAGTCTGCAGATGATACCAAGCTAGGAGGGGTTGCAACTGCTTTGGACGATAGGGTCATAATTCAAAATTATCTGGACAAACTGGAGAAATGGTCTGAGGTAAATACGATGAAGTTTAGTGAGGACAAATGCAAATTACTCCACTTAGGAAGGAACAATCAGTTTCACACACACAGAATGGGAAGTGACTGTCTAGGAAGGAGTACGGCAGAAAGGGATCTAGGGGTCATAGTGGACCACAAGCTAAATATGAACCAGCAGTGTGATGCTGTTGCAAAAAAAGCAAACATTATTCTGGGATGCATTAACAGAAGTGTTGTGAGCAAGACACGAGAAGTCATTCTTCCGCTCTACTATGTGCTGATTAGGCCTCAATTGGAGTATTGTTCCGGTTCTGGGCACCGCATTTCAAGAAAGATGTGGAGAAACTGGAGAGGGTCCAGAGAAGAGCAACAAGAATGACTGAAGGTCTAGAAAACATGAGCAATGAAGGAACACTGAAAGAACTGGGCTTGTTTAGTTCGGAAAAAAGACAGGACATGATAGCAGTTTTCAGGTGTTACGAGGACAAGAGAGAAAAATTGTTCTCCTTGGCGTCTGATGATAGGACAAGGAACAATGGGCTTAAATTGCAGCGAGGGAGGTTTAGGTTGGACATTAGGAAAATCTTCCTAACTGTCAGGGTAGTTAAACACTGGATTAAATTGCCTAGGGATGTTGTAGAATATCACTAGAGATATTTAAGAGCAGGTTGGACAGACATCTATCAGAGATGGTCTAGATTATTCTTGGTCCTGCCATGAGGACAGGGGACTGGACTTGATGCCTTCAAGAGGTCCATTCTAGTTCTAGTATTCTGTGATTCTAACCCTAATTAGTGTGCCTTATTGCTGCCCTGCTGCTTATGCGTGTCAGTTCTGGAGCTGTCCTGTGGGCCCCTGGCTGGTAACTGCGTTTACTTGGAGCTTTTTCTTTTCTAGCTGATAAGCACAAGTTGGAGCATTTCCTGCGGCCTGATGCAGCCCTTGTGGCGACTGTTTACGCACCCATCGCTTTCCCCCCTGCCTCAGTGCTGCTGTTTAAACAGAGGAGTAATGGTAAGGTGACAGAATGAGTAATGAAAGCTAAATCTAGCAACAGAGGTTCCCAGCTTTGACTGATTGGGTCCCATTCTCCAATCTTGCCATGTATCTCTCATGTATTAATCATCTTTCAGGGGCTCAGATGGGGTTAAATTGCCCATTTCCATTCCCTCATGTTCTGGTTATGACCTTATCCTCATTCTTGCTGTGTGACTGCCCTGCACACTGAGCAGTGGCATTCATGTCCACACTGTGCTCCACAGGAATGCATGACCTCATTGCCACAGGATCTCTGCTCTCCGTGGATCCAGACAGAATCATCATCAAGCGGCTAGTGCTCAGTGGTCACCCTTTTAAAATCTTCAGCAAGACTGCTGTAGTGCGGTACATGTTCTTTAACAGAGGTATGTGTGCATGCTGGGCCCTGTGGTCCCATAGGACTCTGTCATGATTTCCAATAACTGGAGCTGTGGAGAGCTGGGCTCAGTGTGACATGATGCAGATTTCTGCCTGGTTTGCTAGCTGTCAGGCTGCTTGAGCTACTAGCAAGAGCAGTTGCAAATATAGCACCAGCTGCACACTGGCCAAAAAGCTATAGTGCATTCACCTAGAGGCACAGCCTGAAGAAACACAAGCGCTGCACGAATAGGTGTGCCCAGGGCAAGCTTCCTGAGCTATGTGGCAGGCTGCTGGGGAGCTGAAGGCCGCTGTGGCCAACTTCTCATGCACTTCTTGTCTTTGATCTGCAGAGGATGTGCTGTGGTTTAAGCCAGTGGAGCTGAGGACCAAGTGGGGCCGCAGAGGACACATCACAGAGCCACTAGGTAAGCTGGGCTTGACATGCCGCACAGCATTGCTTTCTTTTCGTGGTGTTGGGCCACACTCACGGTCCCTGCATCCCTACTCAGATGCTGCTCTTCCCTAGGCCAGGAGAGAGGAGCAGGTGAAATGTAGCTAACAGATTCTATTGCTTTCTTTGCCTAGGGACTCATGGTCACATGAAGTGCCATTTTGATGGGCAGCTGAAATCCCAGGACACAGTGCTGCTGAATCTGTACAAACGGGTCTTCCCTAAATGGACCTATGACCCACATGTGCCGGAGCCGGTACCGTGGGCAAGAAATGAACAGCAGCTCTTCATGCAGGAGCTGGAGATGGAATAGCCCTCTGGGCCTAGCATGGTTGCTGTAGTTCACACTGCCTATACCCCATGTGGGTGCTTGGCTTTTCCAAACCTCAGGAGAAGTAGGGAGAATTATCCTGGATTTGTGGGTACTGTGCCTTTCCTGAGTGTGTCCAGTTTCACTGGCTGCTGCATCATCACAGCTGCCTATGTCCTAGCCTCCACTGTGTCAGTTTATTTCAGTGGTAAATATTTCTTCACACCAATTAAAGTCCGAGTGCCCAGCTTTCTTGAGGTGGTGGAAGGGAGAAGCTGGACTGAGTCATTGTGCAGTATCTGCTGAGCCTGCAGGCTTTGTTCAATTTCTCCCTCTTGCCGGGCTTGAAACTCTGCTGGGGATTTTGTGTTTTGCCCCCTCCCTTGCCATTTGTGTGTAAGCTAAGAACATTAAAACATAGGCTGCCATGCGGGGTCAGAGCAATGGTCCATCTCACCCAGCATCTTGTCTCTGCCAGTGGCCAGTGCTAGAGTTTCTAGGGGAGAGGACAGAGCCTGGCAGTTGGAATGAGCCACCCTTCATCCCCTGTTGGCAGTCAGAAGTTTAGGGTTGCTTCAGGCATGGGATTGCAGTCCTGACTGTCTTGCCTAACCATCACTGATGGACTGACCCTTTATCTTGTTCTTCATTGAGCCTGCTTATATAGATAGGTGGCCATCACAACATCCCATGGCAATGAGTTCCACAGTTTAATTAGGCACTATGAGAAAGTACTTCCCCTAGTTTGTTCTACACTTGAAACCTGTTAGTTACATTGGTACAGGTGATGATTTTATAGACCACCATCTCTTCTAAGCTGTTCAGCTCTAATCTTACACTCTTCTTGTATGGAAGTTGTTCCATAGCCTTAATCATTTGTTTTCTTTCTCCAAACCTTTTCCATTATATCCTTTTTTGAGATGGGGATCAGAACTAGACACAATTCAGTGTGGGCACAATAGGGTTTATGTAGTGGTATTATCATATTTTCTCTTACTTTTTATCCATTTCCTCATTGTTGAGCATTGAGATGAGGTTTTCATAGAACTATCTATTGTGACTCCAAAATCCTTCAGAAGTGTTAATGCTAATGCAGAACCCACCATAGGTATATAGCTGGGATTATTTTTGCTGAAGTGCATTAATGCGCATTTGTCAATGCTGAATTTCATCTGTCAGTTCTGAGAGTCCCTGTGACCCTTAACTATAAAGTAATTTTGTATCCTCTGCACTGTGCCAGTTCAGTATTCACTCACTGCTTTTTTCAGATCATTATTGGATATACTGAACAGCACAAGTCCCTGCACAGATCCTTTGGGACCTCACTGTTTCTCCATTATGGAAACTTTTCCTACCTCTTGTTTCTTATTTTGAATCAGTTACTGAACCATGAGAGGGCCTTCCCTCTTATCAGAACTACTTGGTTTCCCTGTTTCTGTAACTTTCACTCGGATTCATCTGATGAAATGGGTTTTACCCGTGAAATCATGCTCTAATGCAGGGGTTCCCAACCTTCCTTTTTCTGTCCCCGTACCTTCCTGGCTTTTAGTAAACCTTCCCATACCCCCTATTCAATATGAAAGGAAATAAATTCTGGACTCTAGAATCCACAACTTTTTTCACTAACACTATTACTTTTGGAATATTTCAATTAGAATAATCTAGTTATTTACCAAATATTCCCCGTACCCCCTTGACAAGCTTCTCGAACCGCCTGGGGGAACGCGTACCCCAGGTTGGGAACCCATGCCCTAATGAATCTGTTAATTTTTGCGGTACCACAGAATTTCTGGTTGGTTTTGCAGATGCAGGCTAACAGGGCTGTCCCTCTGAGATTTGTCACCAATAAATTGTGTTTGTCTAACTTAGTCTTGTCACTTGATACAAAATTGCTCAAGATAGTAAAATCCACAGCAGACTGTAAAGAGCTTCACAGAGATCTCACCAAGCTGGGTGACTGGGCAGCAGAATGGCAGATGAAATTCACTAAGTGCAAATGATGGGTTCTAAATTAGCGGATACCACTTAAGGGCTTGTGGAGTCACTATAGATCAGTGGTGGGCAACCTGGGGGTTCTAGGTGTGGCCTGTAAGACATTTTGCGTACTGTTGCCCAGGCACAGGATTGCCATATTCACTGGTTTCCATCCATACAGTTTTTCCTACCAGTGTTACTAACGTGACATGCATGTGAAGTGCTGACAGTACGATGACTGTAAACGCTGTGCATTCCATTTGCATCCAATCACAGTGCTGCTATGGTTGAATCGGCATATCCTGCGGATTCTAGGTATGCAAGCACAGTTACCAAAACTTACCCGATCCAGGGGGACCATCTTGATTATGAAAATATTACAATGAAGGGCCACTTGTGCACCCTGCTGAATATCCTAGAATGCCCATTACTGTTGTAGATAGTTCTTTGAAAACATCCACTCAATGTACAGTTTAAAAAAAAAAACCATCTGAGAAATACACATCAAGATAAAATATTGTATTGCTTTTATACATATTTCCTTATTGGACAAACTTCCTAACTGTCAGGGGAGTAAATAAGCACTGGAATAAAGTGTCTAGGTAGGCTGTTGAATCTCTCACTGAAGATATTTAAGAGCAGGTTAGACAAACATCTGTCAGGGATGATCTAGATCAGTGTTTCTCAACTGGTGGTCTGAGTACCCTTGGGGATACTTGAGAAGTCTGGGGGATATGTCAACACAACTGAAATTTGGAGGAAACTGTATTTTTGTTTTATTTTACAGTGGTTTTTTTACTTCTCTACTTTTTACACCCAAAAATTTTATCGCCCACCCAGCTATGTCAAGTTGTTTAAACAAATGTGTTGCAATGGTAGAAAAATTGTGTGTTTGAAAACTGTAGGTCCTGGGGATACTTTTTTTAAAGGGGGGTACTTTATAAAAAAAAATTGAGAAACACTGATCTAGATAGTGCTTGGTCCTGCCATGAGGGCAGAGGACTGGGCTTGATGACCTCTCAAGGTCCTTTTCAGTTCTAGTATTCTATGAAGGAAAAGTTATTTACTCCTTCCCATAACATAATTAGGAGTTACCAAATGAAATAAATAAAGCAGCAGGCTTAAAACAAAAGGAAGGATTTCTTTACATAGTGCAGAGTCAACCTGTTGAACTTGCTGCCAGAGGATGTTGAGAAGGTCAAAACTTTAACAGGGTTCAAAAAAGAGGTAGATAAATTCATGGAGGACAGATCCATCAATGGCTTAGATGGGACAGGCAGGGATGGTGTCCCTCGCTTCTGTTAGGTCTGGGAATGGGTGACAGGAGATGGATGACTTGATTTCCCTGTTGTTCATTTCTTCTAGGACACTTGGCCTTTGGTCTAACCCAGTATGGCTGTTCTTATGAGAGCACGGAGTTAAACTTTGCCAGTCTCCTGTTGCTGAACATGAAAGTGATCTTGCCAACCAATGGTCTGCCTTAGGGAGGCTGACATACCAGCTGTTTGGCTCCACCCATCTATACCAGGTTAAGAGCAGCACCAGCTGCCCCTTAAGATTACAAGGTTTCCCCAGCTTTATTAGAAATCAATTCTTTTTGCTCCTGCTTTTATTATTATAGTAACTTTCAGAGGCCACACTGTGCAAACAGCACTAGGTTCTAAGGCTGTTTCTACACTACAGGGTTTTTGCACAAAAACCGATGGACCGTCCACACCTCAAGTGCATTTTTGTGCAAGAAAATCAACAGAACAGAGGGCTTTTGCCAGTATAGTTATTGCTCTCCCCATGAGGAATAACTTCTTTTGTGCTACAGCTCTCGCACAAAAAGGCAGGTGTGGACACTCCCGAGGGGTTTTTGCACAAGAAACATCTATCAGAAAAAAGCATGGGTGCTCTAATGGCCATTCTGTGAATGGCCATCAGAGCTTTTTGGGCAAGAGTGTCCATGTAGTGTGGACGCTCTCTTGCACAAAAGCACATGACTTTTGCGATGCACTTTGAGGTCTGGACACGTTTTTCCACAAGAAGTTTTTGCGCAAAAACTCTTGCGCAAAGGGCTTCTTGTGCAAAAACCCTGCAGTGTTGACACAGCCTCAGAACTTTACTTATTATTTAGAACTCCCCCCTATAAAATGTGCATAATCTTTAAAATACAAAATTTATAGATATGTATATATCAGTTTGGAGAGGGAACGCATAATATGCAACATCTTGTGGAAAGACCATAGATAATTCTACAGGATGAATCAAGGCATGGAATTCTACAGAATGAATCAAGGCATGCAGAGGTTTCATTACTTTTGATGTTTACAATTCTTGAAGGTAACACACTCACAGATTATTTATATTCATTTCTCTTAGATCACATTCAGTTAAAGCACAAATTAGCAAATAACTGGTTTCTTTGGTAAGAGACAGAGAGCTAAATGGCATTGCCCATCATGTTGTTATCCTTCCAGAACATCTGCTGCCTAGTGTAGACAAAAATAAGGATTTCTATGCTTTTGCTGAATATCTGTCTAATAGCCTTGTTGTGCTGGTCACAGTTTTGTAAGCAATAATAATAAAACAAGCTTAAAAATTATGAACTGAAAACTACAAGTCTCATGCACAATGTCATACACATGCACGTATGCACATATAGGATTTTCAAAACATTGTATTTGTCTTCTGCATTGTTTACTATCAAATCTTTTTATTTCTCTTTCATGCTAAGAGATAAGTAATTAGAGTACCACTAATCAATAGAACATTTTATTATCTAGTGCAGCTCTGAATAATCCCCATAATTTAACTAGCTTCTAGGTGAGCCATCAGGGAATATCCACAGAAAACAAAGAATCTTACAAACTCCAAGGGCTGTTCAGTACAAAGCAGCTTTCAAGAAAATAAAGAGCTACACGAGATTATTTTAAAATAGTGAAGTGAAAACAAACAAATGGTGAAGCTATTTTCTCTTTTTTTAGAAAAAAACTTCTCAGCTATTTTCCTTAACTAAGCCCACAGATCTGGTTCACTCTCGCTGCTGCCAACTGCATGTTCTTCTGCACCAATAACAGCTGCCTCACCAGAGGCAGATTTACCCAAAAAAGATGAATAGGAGATTTATCCATTTTTAGCTTCACTTTGAAGTCTTACAAGCAGAAGGAAGCTTTAGATTCTGCAGGGATGCAATAGGAGGTTAAAGGGAAAATGTACTGAATCAGCACATACCTTAGCAGAGTGAAGTGAAATCTTTGGGGATTTTTTTCCCCAAAAAATGCATTTGTGGGTTGCCTGAAACATTTAGTGAATTCATATCAATTTCACAAAACTATTTAAGTAAAAAATGAATCTAAAAAAGGTCTGAAAATCAAAATGTTTTCATTAGGAACACTCAAATCCAAACAATCTTTTCTCACTATATTTACTTTAATTTTATTTGCTTGCTTTTAAAATACCTCATGATCAAAAGTAAGCACTTTGTTCAATCTAAAATTATTCTATTTTCTATTTTTGAAACTTCAAATTAAGAAATCCATTGTACACGCAGATCTATCCTTTCCCAGCCACCTTTTTCCATGCAGTGTTGCCCAGTTTGGGCATCAGACTTCTGTCTTATAGGTTACTTTACATCATAACAGTCCCTCCCTTCTGATCTTAGGTTTCATCCTAGGGCACTGTTTTATGTCACAAAATCAGCCTAAATTAGAAGTGAATTCATCCCCAAAATCTTTAACATAAACAAACTGTGGCACACACTTCCTGAAACAATATTCATAATGGCTACGTCTACACTGGCCCCTTCTTCGGAAGAGGCATGCTCATTTCTAACTTTGGAATAGGGAAATGCGTGGGGGATTTAAATATCCCCTGCGGGATTTAAATAAACATGGCCGCCGCTTTTTTTCCAGCTTGGGGAAAAGCTGGAAAAGAGCGTCCAGACTGGCGCGATCCTCCGGAATAAAGCCCTTTTCAAGTAGGAATAAGAGATCCTCAGGTCTGGGAATGGGTGACAGGAGATGGATGACTTGATTTCCCTGTTGTTCATTTCTTCTAGGACACTTGGCCTTTGGTCTAACCCAGTATGGCTGTTCTTATGAGAGCACGGAGTTAAACTTTGCCAGTCTCCTGTTGCTGAACATGAAAGTGATCTTGCCAACCAATGGTCTGCCTTAGGGAGGCTGACATACCAGCTGTTTGGCTCCACCCATCTATACCAGGTTAAGAGCAGCACCAGCTGCCCCTTAAGATTACAAGGTTTCCCCAGCTTTATTAGAAATCAATTCTTTTTGCTCCTGCTTTTATTATTATAGTAACTTTCAGAGGCCACACTGTGCAAACAGCACTAGGTTCTAAGGCTGTTTCTACACTACAGGGTTTTTGCACAAAAACCGATGGACCGTCCACACCTCAAGTGCATTTTTGTGCAAGAAAATCAACAGAACAGAGGGCTTTTACTGGTAGTTATTCCTCTCTCCACAAGGAATAACTCCTTTTTGCACTACGGCTCTTGCACAAAATGGCAGGTATGGATACTCTGGAGGGGTTTTTGTGCAAGAAACCCCTATTGGAAAAAGCACAGGTGCTCTGATTGCCATTCACAAAACGGCCATCAGAGCTTTCTTGCGCAAGAGCATCCATGCAGCGTGGACGCTCTTGCACACAAGCATGTCGCTTTTGCGATGCACTTTGAGGTCTTGATGTGCTTTTGCACAAAAACTCTTCCACAAAAGGCTTCCTGCACAAAAACCCTGCAGTGTAGACCAAGCCTAAGAGCCATTTTCTCATTCCTAGAAGTGGCTCGCTCTAAAATCTGATCAGTTTGCATTTGCCTCTTTGCCAGGGGGGTTGAGCCAAGCCAGGGAGTCTAGGTCCACATTTCCTCCACACAGCACAATGCAAATTTTCTTCACTTCCTGGGAGACTGACTGAAACTGCTTGGAGAGCACAGCAGCTACTCCCACTCCGGCTGTAGGCTCAATCAGCAGCTTCACCCTCTCCCACACCAGCTGTGTTGTTTGCTATTGGGGCAGAGAAAAGAACAGTTACTGTGCTAAGCCATAAAAACTTGGTGTGATACACATCCTTTTGCATGGAGCTTGTGGGGCAGTGCTTTGGAGAGGCATACCCCACAGTTGTGGGTTTCCATTGATACAATTAGTGAAAAGCCTGGGCCACTAAACTGCTGCACCCTTAATGTAACAGCCAACCAGGGCTGCTCCTGATGCATTCTTCAGGCTCACAGTCTTGGGAGGAAATGGAGGAGGCCCTACTCTCAGCCAGCATAGCACAGAACAATACATTGTGGGAGGACAAGGTGGAAGATGGAGACAAAGTTGAACGAGTGAAGGCATCTAGCCCATGCCAAAAGGCTGGACCCTTACAGCAAGAGGGTGCTTGGAGTTAACGTTTACCTTGATCTCCTTCTCTGAGACAGTTAACACATCATCCACTAAATCCTTAATGATAGGCCATGTGTTGGGGCCAATGTTGGTTTTAACACTGTCTGCAATAGTGCCTGGAGGGTGGAGGTTGGGAGTGAGTTCCCCTGTCACCTTCGATCTGTAGTTGTCATCTGCATTGCAGGGTTCGGCAGCATACACTCTTACGTCCGGTCTCAAAGCCTGCCTAAAGGCAGGGCAGGAATGTGTTATGAATTTGCTGGTGGACGTGGCAGGCCAGTCCATCTCATTGTGCCTTAACTCCCATGGTCCCTACCTGAGAAGCTGCCCTTAATGAGCTGACTCTGCCATAGCAGTTTTGGCTGAGGCAGGCCTTTCGTCTGCCCCTCCTGAAGAAGGGAGTCTGGCATTTCCGGGTGTGACGAATCAGAGCAGCCACCAATGAGCCAGGAGCAGGTTCCTTCATTTACTGTGGGCAGAAGATGAGCCCTTGCTAAGGGCAACTAATCTTACTCTGCTTGCAACTCTAGACCCTGCTGGATGAATGAACGCCCAACTCTCCTCAGGCTGCCAGTATCTCCCATCTGCCTGTGTTTCCAGTTAGAAGTGGTACCATTTCATTCTCAATCACGGCACAATGCTTAAACTAGACAGCATGGCAGCTGCTGTGATCTGTCCTAGTCCCCGTGATCTTTCATTGCAACCTGGGCCTGGAGGAGAGTGCCTGATCCAAGCCAGGAAGAGAGAAAGGGTCAGCCGTGTGAAGGGCTGCTGAGTTCAGATGCTGTGTGAGTGGGAGAACTTCCTCCTCACAACATGAAATGCTCATTTCAAGGCACCAGTGGTCCCCTCCTCTCCTGCCCCCCATTCCCAAGGAGCGAGGCAGTCAAAATGGGAAGTTTACCTTGGCAGCAACTGCTATTCCAGCCACCATCCCTCCTCCTCCAACAGGAACCACCGGTGCATTCACCTGGGGTACCTAGCACAGCAGAGGCCAAAGATAAACTCTTGACTGCTCAGAACCACAGACATGCTCTAAAATGGCTCGCTCCCCAGATGCTGGCTCTAAGCCCTGACGGCTGAACTTCTGGCTGCCCTCACTCTGCAGGAGCGGATGTATGGCCCCACTTGTCCTCTCCTGCCTGACTTGAATTGTGCTGGGGAGGGTGTCATCACCTGCTGCAGCACCTCCAGTGCTATAGTGCCTTGGCCTGCGATGACAGAAGGATCCCGACTAGAGTGCACCATCACGCCTTCCTTCTCCTGAACTGTCTGAGCTGCCACCTCCGCACGGGACTGGGGAGACAAACCAGGCACAAAATCTGTTAATGCTGCTGTGTGAACAAGGCCGATTTACCCAGCTTGCTGTCTCCCTCCATCCCCGTTACCTTGTCAGTGGGCTCACATGGTACCAGCCTGGCTCCATAGGAGCAGATGGCAGCTTTCTTACAGAGCAGCGCTGTGCAAGGCACCACTATGTGGGCAGGAATCCCTGTGGAATGAAAAGACTGGACAGTGATGGGGGCCTGACCCAGGAGGCACATCCCCTGCTCTGCTGAAAGTAGGTCAGACTGACATGGAACACAGGATACCCCCATGAGAGAAAACAACCCTGCTGTTCCCAGGCCCTGGGCAAGTAACCACCAGGGTGGCGGGCATAGGAAAGGGATGTGAAGTTGCATGAGCTCAGCTGTTGCATTGGGAGTTCCTAGCTCTACCTACATGAAGTCATGGACAGACCCATGCAGGGAAACACTTCGCCCTGATGGCTGAGATTAAGCCACCTGGCTGCAGGCAGAGACCAGGGGCTGGCTTGCTCCAAGGGATCCTCACATGTAGTTAGGTCAGCCAGAAACTGAGGGGCAGTGGCGGCTGAACCAGCTGGGAGCCAGGACTGCTTCTTAGCATCAATTCCTGATCACTGGCAGGTTTCTCCTGGGATAACCAGCCACCTCACGCTGGCAGAGCCTTGGCTGACAAACTGGAGCACAGGGCTGCTCTCCTCTTATTGCTCAGTAGCTCGTGTTTCTGGAGGAATGAAGGGGCCAGTGAGATGCCTCCAGCCCCCCTGGCAATGCACAGACAAGCAACTGACTCCCTGTTACCTTCCAGTTTAGCTGCAAAGGCAAGAGCTTGGCCATGATTCCCACTACTGTGTGTAACAATGGCTTTGGGCTGCTCTCTGTTGCCCGGTGCTGCAAGAGCCAGGCTTCTGACAGCATTTAATGCACCATGGATCTGGGGAGAAATCATAGGCTCAGTGAACCTGCAAAAGAGAGAAAGTCTCAGCTCTTCAGGATCAGATGGGGCAGGGATTTGCTGCTACATCTCCCTGCTCTTGTGACCTAGCTGAGGGCAGCAAAGGGAGTTGGAGAAGCTGCTCCCCTGTAACCTTTTTAATCTGCAAAAATAAAAAGTCCAGTGACACCTTAAAGACCAACAAATTTATTAGAGCTTTTGTGAGGTATAAGTCACTTCCTCATTCAAGCATCTGACAAAGTGAGCTGTATCTCACAAAATATGATGAGCTTATATCTGCTGTCCTTGTTTTTGCTCAGACAGACTAACAGCTAGCTCTCTGAAACCTTTTTAACTTGCTTTCCCCGGCAAAGTAGCAATCGTGGAATGTGAATTTCAGTGTGGATTCTTTGAACCAGTACAGCACCATTGTCAGCTTTCCTTCCTCCCTCTCCACTCCTAAGCTGCAGAAACCCCCACCGTCTGGAATGGCTCATTTAACCTGTTCCTGATGATGTGGCTGCTAGTAAGCATTTGTAAGTGGTGGTTGTCCAGTAGGAAGTAGCCAGGGCCCACCCACTTTGTTTCTTGGAAGCAGAGGAATGGAAATTTCTAGTTCTTAATGCTTTGGGACTGGACTTAAATTGGTGTCCAAAGCTGACAGGGCTTGAGGGCTAAACTGCCATTGAACCCACATAGCATTTAAGTGCAGAAATCGGGAATGCTTCGTTTTACACATGCTAATGGGGCATGCTCTTGCATTTGAACTTGCTTCTCAAATCCAATCCATGGTCAGATCCTGTTGCATTTTCCTTTGAGCTGCAAAGCTAGGTAGGGGCAAGGCTGCTCCTGCTCCTCCCTTTGCACTGTGTGCTATTAGTGTCAGCTTTACCTTAAAGGAGCCAGTCTTCTGGAAGAGCTCACACTTGAAGAAGAGTCTGCGGCCAGCTAACTGGTCTAGGTTGGAACAAGGTGGATAAGGCCATGGAGATGTGACTGTGCAGCTTCCACATCTGCCAGTGAAATGCAGTACAGAGAGGACATGTTCTGTAAGCTTGGGAGAAAAGAGAAGCAGGAAAAACATCCTAATGGGGGAAAGCCTGCCTCCCCAGGCTCTTAACTAATGGAGAGCAGAGAGGATCCCAGTGCCCTACTCTGAATCTGTGTCTGGACACAGTTTTGAGCTCAAAACCAAGGATGGTGCAGTTTTTAAACATGGACAAATTTGAAATTTAAAAGCAAATCCACGCAACCCCTGTTGCTGTGCGGTTAGGAGGGCTGTCATGGCAGTTGTGCACTAGCACAGGATGGGTAGCCTTTGGGGGGGGGGGCAACTGACCCAGAGAAAAATCATTTGAGAGCTGCGCACACGTGAGAAGCCAAAACCCCCTCACTGACGGGCCCCTA